GGCTTGTAACATCAAGTTGAGGGTCATCAAGATAATGTTGAATGGTAACGCCATAGCGAATAGCAATCTTTTGGGATGTATCACTAGCAATTCTTTGTGGCGTATCAGGAATATTTTTATTTGGTAAACGCATAGTAATGAGCTCATCAATAAATTTCTTGGGATTAATAATCTTAGGATCTTTTACTACCGGTAAATCTTCCTTATATCCTAGGGCTTTGATTAAACCTAATAAATCATCATCTGTTAGTTCATCGGCAATTGAAGTGTAGTCTAAAAGATTACCGTAATTGCCAAAGCAGTGTGTAAAGGATTCAAACAAGCCGTTACCTTCATTTGGTCTGCATCATTAACGGTTTCGCGGTCAGTTAAAATTACGCCAGCTTTTTCAAGCTGAGGCCGACCATTAGGAAAATTATCTTCGATTACCAGATAATGCGTTTTTTCTGTATTGCCAAATGGAGCAATGTTTGTATGCTTTTTGGTGTGCAGAATCGTAGTATCAGCAAATCCACTGCTCTTTAATCTATCTGCAACGCTTTGAGCCGGGTTAGGGGTAATCCGATCAATCATTGTCCAAGGAAAAGAAACTTTTTGTGGATCTTTAAGGTACGCAATAAACTCCTGGTCAACAAAGCCGTTTTTAAGCCAACCTTCAGCAACGCGCAAGACTTCTGTTTCTAACTTTAATCCGTTTTGCGAAAAGTTATCAGTTGAAACCATTGCAATTGGTAATTTGCCTGCATTGTATCTAGCATAAAGCAGGTGAGCAATAGCCCCCATATTTGTTTTAGGCTTTTCAGGTCCATTTTGAATATCTTCCTTAGCAGCCTGAGTTAGCGCTCCACTAACATCAGTTAGAGTGTAACCTTTCTCGGTAATTGAGAAAGTAGCAAATTGCAGGGATGGTTTGGTAAAAATTTCAGTTAGCCGGTTCCAGCCTTTTTCGCTGGCTTGATTAAAGTAAACAGCTTCACCAACACTAGCCAAAAGTTCTTTTTCCAAGCTACCATCACTGTTCATTACAACCCGCAAGATACGATTATGGTAGGCATTATAAATTTTCTCAATTACTTCATCATCATATGTTTCTGCGATTGTAACACCGCTAGTCAACTCATGATTATTTATAAGATCTTGAGCGATTTTT